CTTCCTCTCCTCCCCTCCCTTGCTATAAAAAAACCCCTCTTGGGGAAGAGTTGAGAGGAGACAAAATTTGGGAGCTTGGGGAGACTCTGTCGGATTCGCCTCTCGTGCTTGTGAGCCTGGTATTTGGGAAGTTCTGTGATTTTCTTCTGTTATTTTGCAAAGGCTTAAGCGAGGTACATTCCTCCCCGCCCGCCCGTATATGTGTGTGTGTTTTTGTCTATAAAGAGAGAGAGCAATGGACTACTATTTTTTAACATAGAAAGAGGCAATTTCACAAATGATTTTGCATTCCCCTAATTTCTAATCATACAACATTCAATTAGCAAATCAATACCATTTACCTTAACCTTCAACAAAATAATTAGCATATATTGAATTTCCTGAAATAACTTCCTAAAATTTCAAAAATGAATTGATGTATCTAGTATACAAAATCAACACCCTAATAAACAATCTAGATAATCATAAATACTTAATTATTTTCAAGAGTACTCAATTTCCAGAATAATTTTAAAGGATTTGACTTCAAATAAAATGGAAATGGCTAGTAACAAACAAAACTATTTGTATGGTAAACTAACTTCTTTATGACAAAAAAAAAAGTAGTTTAACATACATCCATGTATGTACGTATGCGTGTTGATGACAATATTGAAGCGAAGCATAAAAAATAGTGATGAACAATAGACAGTAAAACACATAAGTGGCTTGCAAAATTAATATTGTTCAAGTGGCATAGACGATGTCCAAAACTGGTTGACTTTTGAGGGTTGTCAAAGAAGTGGATCTCTATAAATGAACTAAAGGTTTAGATGTCTTTTAGTGTATCATGTGTATATTGTCTAACAAAGACCCCCACCCTCTAAGCATGTCAATGACTCCAACCTTCATGGAAAAGAAAGTACAAAACTTCAAGAGTACTCAATTTCCAGAAGCTTGAAAATAGAGAACAGATTAAGTTCTTAGTGTGTGTGATCCGCCAAGCTGTAATTTCACTGACAATTTTTACATTGACATGCAGTCATTAGAGCGCTAACAATAAGTGTCATTTAAGAACTGAAAATATTCAACTACAAACATCCCTAAAATAAAATTTCATATCCATACCAACTCATTAATAGACTCACCTCTCCTTGATGAGCTATCACAGACTGAACTGGCTTATTAGCAGTTGGAGAACGCAAATCCCATATAAGCAAATGTTGATCATCCCCAACAGAACCGAACAAGTACTCGTGCCTCAAATGCCAAGCAACATCTTCCACAACACCATCATGCACCTGTATTAGGAAATGTACTTTTAGCTTTACGAATGATGTTATGTTGCACATTTTCATTCAGTTTGCACATAGTTTAATATGAGTTGTTGATCCTACATAGTTCTTATAGTAACCAACAAAATACCATGCAGCATGTTTAATTTTATTTAGTGACAATTTTCCCCATCCAAATGCTTTAGGATTCTTGGATCAGAATTGGTTGCATCACACATTAAGCAGTACAAATTTATGCTGAAAGGAAGATGAACAGTATGGAACATACAAATAAGATCAAGTTCATGAATACTTCAAGCAATGAAGGAAGACATAAGAATTTGAATCTAAAGACATAGGATTATCTCAAGGAAAGTTGATAGCAGGTGTCACTTATCACTTCTAGCAGTAGAAATCAAGGCAGTGAACTGTTTATGCTTCTCGCATGACAATCACGGGCCACTAAGGTTCATTTTATCAAAAACGGATTTGAACAAAACATTAACAAAACTCTCCGCATCAATGAGGGTGCTGCTAATTTAGTAGTCAGCAATCAATGTCGTGATCACTACTTGATGCTGAGATGAAGTCGCTATGCACAATCCTCCCAAGCAAAGTCTTTTAAGGCTTGCCTGGCAGGATGCCTTGATTCCGTCCCCACCAAGTACAGCTAGCACTACTCCCACAAAATGAATATCCTGAACCTGAGCTAGCTTGTTGCTGGCTTCTTCGGATTTCCCTTTTCTTTGAATCACTGTCCCCAGATGTACGAACTTTCTTAGCTTCCTAGCCTTGATTAATTCCTCGATCAAATTTAGGAGATCATGACACTTCTCAGTATTATGTCTGTGGTCATGACGGTAAGTGCAATACCTCAGTGGGTCAAATAGATATCCAACTACTTTCATAGGCATGGGCTAGCGGAATTACTCCTTGTTCTAGATGGCATCCACCATTTCGGCATATGTGGTGGCAGCTGCTGAGTAGGCAGCGAAGACCTCTCTAGACAATGTCCAATCCAGCCTTTCTCGAACTAAACTCGCCCCACCATAAGATGATCTTGACTCACCTGAACCTGCATCCCTTCTCTTAAGGGATGCAGTCGGCGCTCTTCAAAATTTGATCTCATATTAGGTAGAGCGGGATAAATTGCTCCTCTACTAATTTGGTGGAAGCCTCTCTTTAGCGAGCGTGTCACTGGATGCTCCGCTTAGGCTGCAGCAAGAAACGAGTTATATATCTTGGCAAAAATGAGATTGTTGGCGAGTTGCAACAAATGCAGACTAATCGCATAGCCAAAAGAACCTTCTATTATCCTTTAGGTAATGTAGCATGAGCAATTGCTAGTTTTAAATCTTGTACCTCTAGCATCTCACCCTGCCAAGAAGTCATAAAAACTCATGTTATTTTGTCTGTCTCATGGAGAATTAGTAATAATGCTTGTCTCTAGGAACTGGCGAACAACGCTACAATTATATGTTTGAAGTCAGCACATAATGTTATAACTCACAGCAGTATTGAACCATATTAATTCCGACTCTTTCATAGTCATAAGAATAAGTAGCACTTCAACATGTCATTTACACTTAGCAAGCAAACAATAGATTCAAAAGAAGTGATATTCCAAATATTAAATCTTGAAGCGCTTAGACACTTCAGCTTCGACGATCTTCATAGAGAAGACATTCTCCAATTGATATGGTCAGTGGGTTTCGAAACTCCTCTCGTACTCGGATGGGGACGAGCCCTTGTTGTCTAGGTATTACGTTTCATCCTCCTCCAGCCAAATAGATGGAGGGGCTTCTCTGATATTAGCAACGAGTTCCCTTCGTCATATCGTGGGTACTGTTTAGGACGAAAATGCTCGATCCCCTGTCGATTGCACCATGGTTTTTCATAATTGATCTGCCTTGTGAATGCACACATTCATGCAAGTACAAATGTTGATCAAGTAGTATATAAATTTTGAGTCAGCATGTTATGTTTAGGTCAGCATCATCAGAAGCAAAGCACACAAAACACATATACATCATAAAATAAAATAAACATGTGATCAAACCATACAAAATTCAAATATTTAATTGTTTAAATAATCGAACACGAAATTAAAAGTAATACATCATCTCGAAAGATGAAAATATCATTTAATAAGAGGTTCAATTATTCAAACAGAGAAATTTAGGATATTTGCTTAGTCTTCGTTATACTAACAGATCTTTCTCCTACCTAATCCGAGGACCAGATAGGATTTAGATTAATCTGGTTTGCTAACTTTCTCTGGGCAAACCTCTATAGTTAATTACATCTTAAACAATCAAAGTAACTTAGAGAAACTCTCGATTAATGTTATGATTTTCTCTTCAAAAAATTAATAGTTTAGTTTCCACAATTGATTATTGGAACATAAAATGAGAAAGAATTAAAAGTAGAACAGTTATTTTAGTGTCCAAAGGAAGAAAAATAGATGTCGAAGATACTGAAAAAACACAACGACGTCTCGACTAACCTATGGTTTGTTTTTAAATGTTTTGAAGAAAAAGTTTATTTGATGGATTCAATCCTAACATTTTATTTAAAATTTAGGACTTATATCACACAATATAATATTGTGAGAAAAACTCAAAAAATGAGGATTTATGTTGTAACTCAAGTATATTTTTTATGCAAAGAATATCTCTCAAACTTTTTCATGTTGCAAGAAATGATTTTCCTAAAATTATTAAAATTTCAACATCTTCCTTCATGTCCAAAATAATAAAATCAACTGAGATGATGAGTTTATCAAATTTAAATAAAACATTCTCAATCATTATTCTAGGATATGTTAAAAATTGATCAAAAAACTAAAAAGTAATAGTGGTTGATTGAACATCTCCTAATCTTTTTTTTTAATTAATAAGTCATACGATTGATACTAGCTCTTAAATCACATAACACTTTTCTAAAAAGTCAATTCTCTATCGTGCATGGAATAATAAATCTACTAGCGTCTTTAAGCTTTATGGGAATTTTTTTAGGAAATAGCAGTGCATTCTTTGCTTAGGGCCACAATTTTAAATTCTCTTAACTTATGTTTTTTATTTAATATATAGTATAGGAATATAATGAAGCTAGGCATCTATTCAAGAGCTTCAACAAATGATATATTAATGGTAAACTTCCTAAACACTTTTAAGAACCGAGAGAACTGTCGCTCCAATTTTTCCTATAACCTCTGAGAAAAAAGTCGTAGGGTCTCTTAATAGCTTTTCTAATTGGTATCTTTTGTCATTTGTCTTCTCTAGGATGGCTATGAGGTTTTTCTAAATTGGATGAGCTTTGGGATAATTCAACTTTATGTTCTAATGTAGCCTCATCTATCCTATTTTCTTCTCTATTAACATCTCTTAATTCTTTTCCACTCCTAAGTTATATACCATTGCATTGTTCCTTTCCATGGTCTTTATGATTCACCCAAGTACTACTTTGTAGCGTCCATTGAAATATATTTCTCAAAGAGTTGGCTAATTTCCCTAATTGAGTTTCAATACTTATAATAGATGCAACTTGACTCTCTATTTAATCTTACATTTGCAACACTAAGTCTTTCAAGTTTTTCTTTTCTTTGAGATTATTTGAGGTGAATTCAAGTGGTTAAGTGGGCATAGGATTTGAAAAATTATTACTCTGATTGTTCTAATTGTCTAAAATGTTTTGTTGTTTAGTGTCCAACTGATTATTTCTAAAATTTTGGTTGTTATTCCAATTAAAACTCGGGTGATTTTTTCAGGATTGTAGGTGTTAGAATAAAAGTTGTTGGAACTATTATTGATCACATTCATTTACTTCATAGCTAAAATACTAAGATCTGTTAATTGCTAATAAGCACTCTCGTCAATTATTAGGGATTCCTGTATTGATTTATACTTAAGTTGTCTAACTTTTAGATATTGCAGCTACTTGTGAGGCCAAAATGGCTAAAACATCTTGATCATGTACACTAGCCATATTATTAGAGTTAACTCCCTCAAAAGATTATTGAAAATAATAAGTGGATATTTCTTCAATTAATACATAGGCCTCAACCAATATTTTAGACAATAAAACCTCATCGCACCAGCATCTATATTAACCTCAATGATTCCATTAAACCATTGTAAAAAATTTATATGATCAACCAAATAGGTAGGTCATGATATGTGCATTTTCTAAGAAGGTCCTTACATCTCTAATAGGCTTCATAGAATAATTCATTGTCCAATTGAGCAAAAGAAGTGATATTGTTCATAGGCATAACAAGTTTGAATGTAAGGAAATACTTAGCTAGGAATTTATGGGTGAGGCATTCCATGTGACAATTAAACCACGTGGTAAGATGTTTAGCCATATTGTTGTCTCATCTTTCAAGAAATATGAGAATAGCCTAAGTCTAATAGCATCATCAGAGACATTGTTATACCTAAATATTGCAAAGATTTACAAGAAACTGACAATGCGAAGGCTTAAATTTTCTATAAGTAACCCCCAAATTGAAATTTTTAAACCATTTGTATGATAACGGGTTTGAGTTTGAAATTATTTACACTAATTGTAGCTCTACTAATACTCTGGTTAATTCCATCTACCAAAGGGCCCACAAAATTTTTAAGCTATCTAGGTTGATTGTTTTCTCTTTAAGGGTTTGACAGTTTTCTTAAAGTAATGTTAAGCTTTTTTATTCTCTATTTTTGTAGTAAATTTTTCAATTTCAGGGTCAAAAGATACAAGTTCACAAAATTTAATTCTATAAATGCAACACTTAAATTAACTTGTGACCTTAAGCTAACAATCAACAAAACAATTTAATAGTTATAATTATAACAATGAACAAATAACAGTAATTAAAATCAAAGGGTAAAATAACAAAAACACAACCTAACATTATGATGTTGAACTCATACAGCTGCAGCGCTATCAAAATGGTACAAGTACCGTGACGCCACGATGTTGCTATAATGGCGCCTTAACACTAATACAGCAACTTTGCTACAATACTTTTGAAATGTCATCTCCAACTTATTATCATGTCAATTTCTTGCAATAAAACACAAAACAAACACCATCACAACATAAGAAAAAAAAAATTTGTAAAAAAATAGTTATTTTTAATACATTTTAAACACTTAACACTACTCATTGTCTTCATTTGTTCTTTCAATTCTTTTGTTGAGTGAATAATACTCTATGCAATCAATATTGTCTGTCACTTATATATGGCTCAATTTTGCTCTTTGTATAGTTTTTTTATAATATGTGACATGATTTATATTCACCACACCTTTTAAGAATGTTAAATCCTGATGTTAAATCCTGAATGAGAAAAAGAATTGTAAGAAAAATGCTATATTATTTCTCTAAAGTTATGAATGGTTGTACTGAATAACAGTCTGATAGCCTCTCATGACATTAATTATCCTCCTTTATATAGTGGTGTTTTCCTATAAAATATATAAATTATGATTGCATTTAAATATCTAGGGATCTCTGGCTACTCTCATTTGTCATATTTTGACATAAACGCATAAACAATATTATCTATGACGCATTATCCTCCGATGGTGTTGCATTTCTCTTTTCATCCTCTAGCACCTCGTCGGGACATATCTTTTGCCTTATCAAGCCCTAACCTAAAGTTCACCTTAAATCCAACTCACCGTAGGATCAAGTAGATTTTTATTCAATAGAGTGACTAGAGAGATGAAAAGATAGGCATGTAGAATTTCTTTCAAGTAGAATTTCTTTCAAGTAGAATTTCTTTAGAATAGCAATGACGAAAAGGGAACTCATGGTTAGGGCAAGATCAGAATTTCTTTGATATGAACTTAGAAAGAAATCCCTTGATATATTATTGACTGAAAATATATAAGTCAATAGATAGGCATGTAGAATGAATATAGAAAGAATACAAAATAAAGAAGAGAACATACACAACTATGAGGATAAGATAACACGTCTCCTTAATCAGGTATTCTCCTAATACAGTACTTCCAATATAAAACTTCCAAATATATCATAACAGAAACAAAAAAGAAACAAGAACAGAAAAAAAAAATCAATGTATATTGCAATCATATAAAAATGATCTGACCTTAAATATCTGGAGAGCATCAAGTGACTTATTCTTGGGAGATCCATTGATATCCCACAAGCATATTTGAGCATCATCAGAACCACTCAATAGATGTCCTTGCTTAAAAAGGCTCCAAGACAAACCATAACCTTCAGTTGTATGGCCCTTCAATCTCAAATCAGGATTGCAAGCACCGTCTAGAGGAGGCTTTGAAGGATGCTTGCTGTAATCAAATACATAAACATCTGCACTGACAGTTTTTGTAGCAATTATAAATGGATTTTGAGGCATATGGCGAGCTCGGTTTACTTCCCCTTCATGATTTATTTGCTGAATTATTTGAACCTGGCATCAGAATTTTGAGAACAGGCACTTTGAGACTACAGTTAAAAAATAAGTCAAGTTAGACACAAGGAAAGAAGACATGAGTGGTGATCCCAATATGCAGAGAACAAAATACCCACAGCATAAAACATGAATTACCAGCTCATTAACAAGACTAAACACATTTGTGTTTGGCATGACAATCAAGGAGTTGAGCCAAACGAAGTCACAGCCCATCCATGTTCAGCTCAGAATATGTGAGGCACATCTCCAACAAACAAGCATTAGTGTATTATATTTGAGAGTTGGAGAAGTAAATGCTCTTAGTAGATAGTTCATTACAATTATCCGGTTTGTAGCGGGAGAAAATTCATTCATCAAAGCAGACAAAATATCATAAACTATCTTCTCATTAGCAATGCTAGAGTTAGGTAAATTCATGAACATTGGGCTTGCATGCCAGTTACTTTAACCAATCCGAAAAGCCAACACCGAAAAAGCCTAATTTTTTT